ATCTGAGTCGCCGTTACGATATAAATAGTAAGTGGAACGAAGGTAATTCATTTTGACGTTTTATTGCAAAGCCAATCTGTTGCAGCGAGCGTTATTATCCTGTACCCTTCGCGACGATATGAGGATAAAACAACGCTCAAACTTCTACGGGATTGATAGCACGTAGAAAAAAGCATAGAGCGAAATAAACGAGCCGACAGCTACGGTGTCAAAGGGCTGATCCGACAAGCGACGCTTCGGTCCCCCTGGGCTATAACAAGCAGTCGCATCCGTAGTTTGCTGTACATTGCGCTCTGGCCTTCATCTCGCTTAAAAAAAAACAAGCGAGCGAGCAATGTAACGCGCGAAAAGCGAATGTGGGCAGAGGAACAAGGTCTTGCGAATTCATTGGTTCGATTTTAATTAAACGCCGACAATTATTAAACGAATCGAAGTGTCACGGATAATCTTTTATAATTAAGGGAAGGAAATGGAAGCATTAACTGGTAGATTGCTCGTTCGCCGTGAGATAGTGATGCTATATCTTTTGCCACCTCGCTTTAATCCTGTATCGGGATTGCACTTTTTACAATTGAAAGTGTTTTTTTATTTTATTTTCTGTCTTTCTAGAATTACGTAATCGAGCTCGTGTGTCGCGGGTAGCAAATTATTCGTCCAACATATATTTTCTATAATAGTTTTTTCTGAAACATGTTTAATTTCGTCTGGAAATTTGGATATTTGGGTCATAAACCACCATCCAAAGATGAAAAATCCGTGAAGATTAATCTCGTTTCGGTTTCAGTCTATGGATTTCTGAATATCCAAACACATCTATTTAGTAGATATTATATAGCTGAGGTATTTCACCACCCATCAAATATACCCTATGATTGTCCTCCTCTGTCATTAAAAAAATCTAAGTATATTATGCATTACGTTAGGTAGGGTAATAAAGATAGTCCCATAACAATAATTTCGCTGTCCATCGGTCACTGTATGTGTTTGTATAGATAACACATTCGCCCATTTTTTTGAGTCTTTAGTAAGTAGGAGTTAGTCTTACCTCATTAAAAGTTATATATTTCGCAAAACTATTTATAACAAAATTATCCAGTACCTACACGCCATTAAAATTTGTTTAATTATTTCAACATATTCTTTGTTTTGAGAAATTAAATATTAAGTGTTGTTGTTCGTCAGTTAGACAATGTTGTTATAAAAAGTTAAAACGTAATATCGATAAATTGATAGAGATAACGACAAGTGAAAATGACGCACCGCATTGCGACACAAACGCTACACAGCCGCTATCCCAATTCTATATTAGTGAGATAATTGTTATAACCAATAAAGGTTTTGAAGACCAAATGGACAGGAAATAATTGTTAGCTTAAAAGGAACAAATTTGAAAATATTAAAGTGGGCTATTTTTGTATTGTCACGTGGCTAAGCTTATCGCACTTAGTGGTATTATAACTAGCCATAGGCATTATATAATCTCTTTTTATGTTATAAATATTATAAAACGCATATGCAGTGATCTTGATAAATTATTAGTATTGTTGCGATTAAATATGATTGTCTTACGGAAATTGCGATATTTAAAAAGATGTATGTTAATACTGTCTGTAGTTTACGCGAGTAGTACATATTTAAATAAAACACTTTAACGGTTTAAAGTGTGATATATATTAGTTAAACTAATTTGGAAATTACTTCAACTATGGGCCGCCGTTTCTGATGCTTTGCAACAGCCGTGGTCCCGGGGAGACAGGCCACCTAAAAGTAGGCAGTATAGGTAGTTAAATATATATTTTGTAAGCAAATATCTACTAGGGAAAACAAACTACTTCAGAGGTTTCATCCCAATAATATAATTTCCTAAGTTTTCCTCTTCAACAAATATCAACGCGGAGGTTGATCTATAAGAAGTTAAGTATCAATCTAACATTCATTCAAGCATAAACCGATAATATCATTTGAGATTTCTTAACGTAATGACTTTTGTACATAATCATTAGAAAATTATTGATAGATCCGTGTCGTGATGACAAGTAAAATGACCGAGTTCGGATGTTAGACGCGCTATTACCAGCAATCGTAGCGCTAATTATTAAAATATCGTGTTTTAAACCGTTAAATTGTTTTATTTAAATGTGTAGTACTCGCGTAAGCATACAGTATCTAATCAAAAGTTTCTCTTTTATATTTATAAGTGTGGGAATCGAAGAGCTTGTTTATCAAAAAACACAAAAATAATTACATAAATCGTTACGAAAAATTCAGTATTCATTCGGTTCAGAGGTTTTTATTTGTGTTTGATTAAAATACACTCGTTCTGAGTTTCGTAAATTCAACGAGTTCTCCTTTTTGGGCATCTGCCGCGCGTCGGCTCCACTACGCGCTAATTAGGACGCGAAAAAGTTCGTTATATTTCTTACGGGCCACCGGACACTCGCTTCGACCATCGCTGTATCGCTAAACTGAGCCACTACAGTCTGAAACATTGCCATGTCTTTGAAATAAATACCTTTGAAACAAAACTAGACGTCCTCGCTCCGTTAAAAAAGAAGGAAACGTCGGCAAAAAGATTTAAAACACAGGGCTCTGAGCGATATCGTATTCCCTTTACTATAACAACGTATTTCTTCTAATTTAGCGGACGCTACGGTTAAGTGCCCGGTGTACAAAACATCGTTGCGATTTTAAGGAGTTATTACATCTATACTAATATTATAAAGCTGAAGAGTTTTTTGTCGCAGTTGTGTTTATCGCAGTTAAGCAAAGAACAGCTTTGCTTGACTGCGATAATCTGAGGAACTAATGGTTTTTAAATTATTTTGGTGTTAGGTTAGGTTAGTTAACGAGAAAGGTTTCAATCTATAAAATATTGGGCTACATCTAATAGGAGCGAAGAAACAGAGGAAAATGCGAAGAAAATGGGGAAAATTATTCCCTGAGGATTTCCGTTGCGTGAGCTGCGTAAACGGTCCAAATTAACCAACATATCTGTATAAAATAATTATTCTACTTTAAATAATTTTAAAAAATATCCGACAGAGTATGTGCATCTTTCAATATTAACTCATAACCATCGTTTCTATGGTAACCAAACTTTTTCAGAAATAATTTATATGGCGAAAAAACGTTTGCCAGTTCAGATAGAAGCCTGTACCTGACCTAGCGTCTATATATTTTAGTAGTCATTGCTCATTGATCGAATGACAGAATCCGATCTTTATTCGGATTGTCGTGTCGTCCCCGTGTAAACGGGATAAGGGAAAGAGCGACAGAGTAACCCGAGCTCAGAAAGATTCTATCTTCGTAACAAAGTTAACCTTTGAACTCGAGGAACGCGCTTGATTGAGATTCCGCTTTGATGTGTGTTTTTATTTCGAGCTAATTTCAGTAGGACGGGATAGTGCACGGTGCGTAGCTAACTAGTTTCATTGGTCTCGCTTTTCCCCGGATTCAGTTTGTACATTACGTTTTTCTATGATGGCGTTCCCTCGATGGGAGATCTCTACTCATCTACACGAGATGCGCTGTCGACCATTTTCTCTTTGGATATACGTTTAAACTAATTAACTTATAGCAGCTACAACAATAGTTTTTGTTTGTAGATAGGGACGGGCGAAATACCCTTAGGCTTAGCATAATTGAATGGTTGAACGTGTTCCCTTGCATTGCGTTAAGCGCGAGACATCCTGGATTCCGGGCAAATAAAGGATTGTTTTGGTCGGGGAGAACACAGAAGCACAGAAGTAACAACTACTAGCCTGTGAAAGAGGCGATCGGTGATCTGGTCACAGAAATTTGTTCGCCCCATGTCCCACGGAGGGCAACAGGATTCTACTATATAAAACCTAAACAGAGTGCGGTGTTAGCATATTTCGGCTTTGTATTTTCGCAAATCCACAGACTGAAACTTAACTTTACGGATTTTCGATCGGTGAACAGTGGTTTTTTAATTTTAATATTCCTACTACGAATTTTACATCTAGATTTCCAAACGAAGTCCAACATCCGCTAGGGATCAAACCAGCGATGCGTTGATTGTGTTTTATATACTTATGTTTTATAATATAAATGACAAGTAACGAACAAAAAATAATTGTTATTCGAAACAGTAGTTTTTGAGATTAGCCCTTTCAACAAACACACTCTTCAGCTTTATATATTCGTACAGATTTAGGGATATTGATACTCTTAGAGGATTACTGATATACAGGTAACACTACAAGTTTATTCAGTGTGTACTCGTTCCCGATCAGAGAGATTACGCCTCGATTGAACTATTATAAGTTTACAGAGTTCGATACAGTAACATTCGATGTGGCCGCAACTCGCCGCCGAATGAAAGGATTTGTGAATGAAAAGAAATCTCGCTACAAAGGACCCCCATTCCCAATATTTACACGAATAAAAATGAATCCATTAAATCGTATAGAATACTCGCTTCGATATCTATACTAATATATAAAGCTGTAGAGTTTGTTTATTTGTTCGAACGCGCTAGCCTCAGGAACTACTGGTTCGAATTTAAATTCCTTTTGTGTTGGTTAGAACATTTATCGAAGAACGCTATAAGCTATAAACTTTTGCACAAAATATAGTCGCGCAGAAACAGTGGAATTAAAAGAAACAGGCAAAGATAAAGTACCTTTAAGGGTTGCGTGTGCTGCGAAAACGGTTTAATATACCCAAAAAATGTGTAGAAAAGAATGATGTCTCTTATATAATGTAAAAAATATCGGCGACAGTGTTTATATCTTTTAAGATTAACTTGCAAGTGTGACGGGACGCGAGTGACATAACAGCTATAATTTATAAAGATCTGCTTTTACAACATGATACCCAAAATAACTATTTTAAGTCGCAACTAGCAACGTTAGTGTGTAAATAATTCGAAAACGTCCCAGTTTACAATTTTTGGAAGGCTTCACTAAAATAGCGACTGCATGCAATAAATAAGTGGACATATCGCGATGTCTAACAAAAGGGGAATTTTAATTAAAATGCAGTGCGAGGGGGCAGGGGCCGGGAAGGTGAGAGGAGCTGTGATTGAACAATAAATAAACGTTTTTAATATTTACGGCGATGTTAAGACGGGATTGGACGTGCACAGTGCAATCTATACAGTTGCTCTTGTTACTTTAGATCATACTTTTTACATTGTAGCGAAAATTTCCTTTTACACAAGCAAAAACTATTTTATAGGTAATATACAATATAAACGAGTTAAACTTTTCTGGTTAGTGATATTTGGATAGTAGAGTAAAACAATATTTTAATACTTATCGTTTTCCTTCCTTCAGTTAGATACCAACGGTTTAAAGGTACCTGTGCTCAAATGGTAATGAAGACACAGTCGTCTCTGAGGAGTGCGAGGTAATTCCGTTCGCAGGGAAGTGCTTGTGGGTCCATTCGAGATAAATACAATTATAAATTCTTTCAATTAAATGAAATTGTAAAGGCATATTATGAAAGACAACAAGCAATATTTTTTTAAATAGATAATAAAGTACTGTATGTTGCTTACGCTAGTAGTATACATTTAAATAAAACATTTCTAAAGGTTTAAAACACGAAGTTTATTAGTTAAGCCTATGTAAAACTTATATTAACTACGGGCCGACGTTTTCGAAACCGTTAAAAGTTATTTATAGAGAGTATACAATTTTTTTTTATACTTAGGAGTTTAGGTTTAATTTAAACTTTGTGTGAGGTTATACGAGTATCTTTGTTTAAAAAGAGAGTAAATATTACAAAAAGTACAATAAAACTGAGAAAAATTTAAATAATACTCTTTGATCTCTCCTGTTGGATTGAATGCTTGCGATTAGCAATTAAGAACTACGTCTCTCTTTAACTGGTTTAAAGATAAACTTTGCGATTCCTTAGTCCCAAAGTTAATTAGCAAACTTTTTACGAACAAACTTTAAACTTTTTCGTAGTACGCACTTCTTCGAGTTTACAAAGAGCTAAATGTATTTGCTCATTCATCATATAATACTGTTCAATTAATTATTAACGCTGATGTTAAGTGTTATTAAAACCTAGCCCTTCCCTACGCACACGTCTTTCTTTCCTGAGGGTTCTCCATATAAACCAACAAATATGTAATATTTTAGCTGATTAATGAATAATACAATTAAATTAATCAAACACAAGTACTGTCGGAAGTTTACGAGACTAGTACACATTTAAATAAAACACTTTTTAATCGTTTAAAATACGAAATGCATTAGTTACTTATTTATTATTTTGTTTAACTATTGCCCCACATTTCTGACACTTACGAACGTCACCGGGGGAAGTTTGAATTGTAAATAAGTTAAGTAATTCACTTTAAACCGTTAAAAAGTAATGTATTAAATACTGTCTGTAGTTTACGCGAGTAGTACACATTTAGGTCGTAGTTAAAAATAATTCTTAAACAAGTTTAACTAAAATATATCGCGTTTTAAACCGTTAAAAAGTTTAATTTAAAAGTAATTTAATTACAAAAATCATAATTCAATTTTAATTTTTCTTTGTATTACATATCCATACTTAGACTAAGACCCACAGAATGATGGTTCCGTACTCTCGTACTTCTATTGAACTACAGGTTAGGTACTGTCTGTGTTACATTGGATAATTGTATAAAATATGGAAGTGAAGCGTATATAACTTTCGTAGAAACTCCGTCAGTAGTCTTCCAAGTTATTCTTACAATACATTTTTCTCGGAACTTAAAACAACAACAAGTTTCCGCCTCCGACGGACGGACGGACACGGTACAAACTTACACATCCACTCAGTCGAAATTATTCAACGGTTTCCTTTTATTTATTTATTAAAATTCGTACAACATTACATTAAGTTCATATATAACTAAAAATTATGCGTAATTAACTATTTCAGACTTAAGTAACTATGACAGTACAAATATATATTATACAACTATGAATCTTCCTATCTATGAATAAGTGATAATTAATTTAAAGAAATATTTATAATAATTAAAAAGAGAAAAACAAAAAAAATCTAAAAGAGTACAAAATGGCATGGTAAGAAAAAAAAACTTAAATAATTATGTAAACCTAATGTTAATTACTGTGACACAACTTAGTAAAAAGTTGTCTTTTGAATGTGCTTTGCTTGCTCCTGAATATATCTATATCCTTATCTGTGCGACAAAATTTATTATACGATCGCATCATTCGAGCAAAAGGTGCTTGGATTCCCATGTTTGTTTTGACGGGGGGAGTGTAGAAGGTGTTACTGATGGTAGAACGAGGATATGAATGTGGAACACTAATATTAATTGATTCTATAAGGTAAGTGCACTGGATCTGACAATTAATGACTTTAAACAAAAACATAGCCTCTGCTACGAGTCTTCTATTGTACAATGAACACATTTTAAATTTTTTGAGTCGCTCAGCGTATGGTTGTCTATGAGAGAAGCCACTACAATTATATGCGAGATGCCTTGTAAAAGTCCTCTGTATACTTTCAATGCGTTGTGTGTGTATAGCATATAAAGGATTCCATATAATATCTCCATAAACGAGATGACTGCGCACTAGAGAGTTGTACAACACAGTTTTAGTTTTGGTGTTGAAACCATTTGTGTTACGTTTTAAAAATCCCAACATTTGTGCAGATTTAGTTACTGCTGCGTGAATCTGAGGTATGAAAGTTAATTTACTGTCTAGGATTATTCCAAGGTCGCGAATTTCAGAAACCTCTTTGAGATGCGCGCCGTCAAGCTCGTACACGTTGGCAAGCGGTTTTTTTTTTCTTGTATATTTTATATGAAAACACTTAGCTGCATTAAGGTACATGTAGTTTGAAGAACACCAGTCTTTTATAGAATTAAGATCATCTTGAATAAGGTTGGCGTCAGAATCGGACTTTATAACCCGGAAAATTTTTCCTTTTGAAGATTTACCTCAATTATAAACAAGATAGGTTTGAAAGAATTACAAAATCAAAACATAACAGGTGAAATTCCGATTCCCAGACGTGGGTGTGGGAAAGACTCCGTTTCACGCGTTCTGGTTCAACTACGGCCGCAGCAGCAGGTGATCACTATCATGTTTTCTTGGAATTCAAACTCAAGATGCATAACACTAAATTGGTTTAAACCCGAGTCCGGAATACAATGTTGAAATTGCAAATCATAATAGATATAACACAATAACCATATTTGATTATATTGTATAATGTTTAGACAGGGTCGTTGGTGTAATGGTAGGAGTACCTAATGTATGCTAACAATCAACGGAACGCGGGTTCGATTCCCATCGGGTCCAACATTTTTCTACTCAATTTATAATTTTTCTGAAACCTAGATATTAAGTCAGAATATCGAAATTGTGTCCGGGTCACTAACCGACGTTCACAGATAAAAAAGCAGTGAAGTTTTATCGCGTTTCGATTTCAGTCTATGGATTTCCAAATATCCAAAGCCAAAATAGGTCAACAACACATCTTGTGATATTATGAAGCTGGGGTATTTCACCTTCTATCAAATTAACCCCAAGCGGTTGGTGTTTCTGTTATGTTTCTTTCTTAAATAAATAAGCTTGTCTGTCCTCTATAGTAAAAAAAACATTAAATTATCTGCTATTATAAGATAACGTCCTCAATATCTTATAACTCTAAGCCATAGACCTTGGGCCAAGAACTATAGGCTAAGATATGTATACAGTAAGCTGCCAGAAGTGGGATGTGATGTGTACATTTTATACGCGGTCATCGCTCGCAGGGAGAACGCGACGTCAAAGCTTTGCTTTCATCAAATTGAAATCTCGTTAGAGGTATACGAAGTGACTAACGTTAGACACGGATAGATGCTATAACGTACACCGTGTAGTTAATTTTCATTAGTCTATAGATGACCCCCTCTGTAGTCAAATGGTTAAACGTATTGCCTAGCATTGCGTTAAGCGCGGTCCTGGGTTCGAATCCCAGGGAAACAAAAAATTGTTTCGGGCAGGCAGGGCACAGAAGTCTGATCAAGTACATGTCTGTTAAAGAACGGATCAGTGAAACGGACACATAAATGTGTTCGCCCCATGCCCCATGAGAGGGGAATGGGATTTCACACATAGATGAGCATAGACAATAAATAATTTTAATTGTTATTTGACATTAACGCTGACATTAACACCAAATCTATACATATATAAAAACCTGACATATCTATTCATAACACAATTTAAATTAAGAACGACTTACATTTTTATAAAATTCTAACGAACACTGTTAATGATATTACTATAGTAGAAGTAATGAATACATTTTTACATTATTTATCAGCTCCTCTTAAATTTTAGCATTAAGTTTTATTATACGACAGTGGGGCGGGGTGCGATAAATGACAAGTCGAACTTGTCGAGTGTCAAGACATGTAAGTGCAAACACGCCAGAGACCTAACTGGGATCGGGAGGACAGGCCATTTTTCTGAATCTATAAATGAAAATGTCGTTTGACTGTCCAAGTCGTGTGTTCTATTTTTGTCTTAGAGTTAATAACCCCGGTTAGTGCATTTGTTTTGGAGGTGAGAACATTAACGTTTATATTACGGTCTTATCATATATCCTATGTGCACCTAAGAATCCTCTATGTCCCCCTATGTCTACAGCTGCTACAAAGCACCTGAAACGACGACCCGTAGTAAAAAAAAATAAGTCGCATACTTCGTCTTTTAATCCGTTAAAAATGTTTTTTTTTTATTTTCGCTACCCGCATAAACGGCAGACAATACCTAATTCTCTATGCATATTCTGTACTCATTTTGCACTGCTTTCTAACTATACCTTTGTTATGCTACACATTTGACCGTAAAACACAAGTTAATGGTTGCAGCGCCTTGCGTTCTACTCGGCGATAAAAAAAATTTAAGACTTTAGATATGCACAGACACAAGCCAAATTGCGGTTAAGATATTTGATCGCTTATGCTTAAGAGTAAACGCAGATGTAGTACGGGGTGCCGCGTCAGCGTATGAGTTTTGAATAGCGCGAAGTGTCAAGGGTGTGTATTCAGTATTCACTGGGGCACTGCGGAGCGGAATGGGCAGAGGACCAAGAGGGGCAGAGCCACGGGCGCGGGTCAATGCCGAAGCGACGTCAGCGCCTCAAGCGAAACCGCTCGTTGCTTTCTCTGCGCCGCGGCTTTGCCTTTCGGTTAAATAGACATAGCCAACGTCGTATACGTAAGTATGTTACCACATTCAAATAGACCATATAGCTTTATGATTCACTCGCCATTGTAATGGAATTCCTTTAATGCTTATTAATATGAAACATGATTGTATGAAGAACTAAGATAACCAAAAAAAAGTAATACCTGAGGCTTATACGTAAAACCTCAGGTATTATAGCACATCTTAAAAATAACTCATTTATCAAAAATCAAATGAAGTTAGAACAATGATCAACAATAAAGGGATTATATTAGCAGCGCAGTCCGCAAACAGTGTGCGGACACGATTTCAAAGCGAACAGCACGAGAGCATTTAAGTCTGAGCAAATAGCGGAAAAACGCAACAAAACAATTAGCGAGCTCGAGATTTATCACTGCAGCCTGCGGATGACTACTCAGTTTTACTCTCAATGACCGGACAGACAATAATAGCAATGAGAAAGAAAAATTCACTTTCAAGGTATAAACATATAATGTCTTGCTGTACTTATAGTGTATATTTTCTTACTTGGCATTTATGGGTAAGAAATTACATGAAATCATGATTTTCTCACAAGGTTTACGTTGTTTCACACTAAACACACTTTAATGCTAAAATTAGCAAATGCACAGATTAATTATTATTTAATTAGACATTTACATAAGGATGAAACGACAATAGAAGGTAGAAGTCCCACTCATGCTAAAAAGCGTTGCTAAACGTCGAGTTAAATAATAATGATAAAAATAAAAGTCGATATAACAGTGATTTTGAATATTGAGGTCGCTTTGTCCATGTATTATGGATATATCTTTAACCCTGTGTTATCTGTGGCAACGACTGCACTCTATAAAAGGGCATCACTAGTTCTCTATGGTTTGAAATCGGCAATATTTGTTGTAGACTTTTGCCAAGTTAGAAAAAATACACTATATAATGAAAATATAAATTAACATTCCGAATTCAAATAGTTATTTGATAAATTGATAATACAAAATATTGTTGTCTAAATAAGTGTTACAATAAAACCAAAAGGAATCGAGACAGCTATAAAAAAGTTAATAAACAAAAAAAATCTAACCATTTGTACTGAAATTTTTGATTAGGAAACTAATTTTCATATAATAGTATCGCATTAATACTTCAATGAGAAATGTATAAGCGATAATCAGTTGTCTTTTCAAAGTTGTTTTTACTAAATAGACAAACATTAAGGCTGGTCGATGGTATATAGGGAACGGCAAATCAAAGCGACATTAAACGGTCCGCCAGCAAATGGTTAAAGAGAAATATTCGGTCGCGTAGCGGTGCATGGAGTGACAATTAGTTAACCGAATTGCATTGTTTACCAGCGAGTGGCTCGTTTAGACCAGCGTGGGCCAATGTGCCCCAACGCACTGTTAGTTTCGAAACCAACGTTAAATACCTGGCCGTTAACAATATATTACACTTAACATAAAATAAACATAACAACATCGCTAAATACTAACTACGACAGACCAGATGGCGCTAGTAGTAGTAGTAACCGTTTTTACTTTGGCATTAAGAATACCCTTCATCTTTAGTCTCTCGTGGCCACGGCTGCAAAGCATCCGAAACATCGGGCCATAATTGTAATAATTTATAAATAAATTTAACTAATATATTTCGCATATGCATAAAAAATATATAATAATAACAGTTTTTTTATATTTTTATGCATTTCTAAGTGTGTGTAAGTTTATAACGAATAAACCCAAAAAGTGCTGCGTAAATTTTAATTTCAAAATTCATTTATCATTAGAGTGATATATACTATTGCTAGAAACGATAAGGGATTCTAACTAAAACTTTAGGTACTTAACCCACGGAGTACAATGTAATAAAACATCTTTCGTCGCATGTGCTGCAAAAACTACTAATCAAAAGCAACAATATGGTCTATACTATTAAATAACACATTATTAATAGTAGCGGGGCATAACAATGTTTGCCGCGTCCGCAAGTGTTTTTTAGTATAAGTATATTACAAGTATACTTGTCCAGTTTCGTCAGCATTTGCACTGTCTCAAATAGTTTGAGTAAATCGAGTTTTTACATCTTAATCGAAAACAATTGTAAATGAAAAGTACTCGCTCACTTTATGTACTAACATAAAATGCCATTACATACGACATTCCTGCAATCATTAAAGAGTCGGTCTTCCTGAATTATTAAATAGTACCTATTTATCTTAACTAACAAAGAATATAAACGTTAGATTTTACAAGTATTAGTTGTGAAGTTTTCTTTTAATTAAACGTTTAAACGCCTTCTGCGATCATACGGTCTACACAAGAAAACTTTCTAAAATCGAGTCTGCAGTTTATGAGATTAGCACGTTCAAATAAACAAAAAAAACGAACTCTTTAGCTTTATAATATTAGTATAGATTAGCTGAGGGAGAAAACAATTGAAACTAGTAACGCTTTCAATAAAAGTAATATAATTTGGTACGTAAGCCTCGGTGAGACCTTGGAGAGAAGTAAATCCGGCATTAACATAAGGCCCGCGACTAAAAGGAAACTCCTTGTTTAATGGAATCCGCGATATCCTATGAGGCGAAAGAAATAAGCGAAATTAAATTCAAAAGTGCTCCCATTTCTATGTGCACCTCTCTTGAGCCATTATTGACTCTATTTCTATTAAAAATTGAAACATAAAAATTTTAAATAAAGAGTCATAAAATATTACCTTTCATAGAGGCTTTAACGATACGACTTATAATTTCTTTTTTATATGTTCAAAAACGTTTTTAAATTCAACACAATTAAAAATTTTAAAAGTTTACAAACAATAAATCTGTATAATATAGCATGATTTCTTAAAGTTGTTTTATTTGATGTTAATTAATGTTGCTAGTTGATTATGTATTCGATGACAATTAACATCATTTGCCGTACTTAATCGTGCGCACAACATACTATTATAAATTTGTTAAAAATATATGTTTATTAATATATAAAACCTTTCCGCAGGATAAATGTAAAATTTTTGCCTCAACGTTACTCCTTGGACTTATCTTTAAAAAATAATAGAATTATTGAGGAGTGTCAATGAAATGTGTTTTAAATAAGTCAACAATTACAAGGTCGTAGCTATTGTAGGACTAATGTCAATTTCGAGACGCCGTACGCATTAGTAGTTCGCTCTATTATATCAAGGAACGAGTTAACTTGCGAAATAATGTACCGAGAAAATCTCTGCTATTCCTTTATCCGAAGCTCGACTTGCAAATAGAGATACGCAAACGGACAAATCTATTTTATAGTTAATGCAGTTTAACATCGTAAGCGCTTTGCTTCAATAAGCCGGTGCTTACTACTTTTGTTATATAATTATTTACGATGTCTCTCAGAAGTATATATTTTTTTGTAAATATTCTCTTAAAGATTACACTACGTTTAGATATAATTTATAGAAATTCTCTATTTGCATGTCCGATTCGAATTTCAAATGTTAGAAAAGTGGTTCCCACTGTATTTGTAGTGAGTCGTAGCCCAATTATGCGCGTCTACGCGAGTGAACAGGCAAGGCACCGAGTGCGTCGTAGCGCGTAGCGGCCGTAGCGATCAGCCTGAACGTAGCAAAATTGAATTTCAATGTCACAATACTGTGGATGTAAAATGGTCGGAGACTTTAGCGATCGTTTGCGTGCGCGCGCATCGCCTCGACACCTCGGCCTGGCCGGAGGGGCTGGCGCGTCTATCGCAGATTCATGCTTTCGCGCTTCTCGGGTAGATGACAAAAATAGGCGATATATTCAATTAAGGTAATTATTACTTACCAGGTCTAAGGACAGGCGGGAAGCAGAAAAAAATTTTAGGAATCGAGCGGGCGTCGAGCGCGTGGGGTACGGGGGCGGAGGGTGCGCGCGCCGGGCCGCGCCAGTCTAGCGGGCTGCGAGTGACGGACGCACGTGTTTTTCGTCGCGCCCTCGTCCCGCGTCTCGTCGGTCAGTGCAGTGGAAGTGATAACTTGTCGAAGCCCGCGCCATTCGAATGATCTCTCTGTGTAAACTGCGCGTGTACAGTGCAATGATCATCGCTTGAGGATTTCTCACTCTTCAGTAAGTTTAGGGTCGCGGGGCCTTTGGCGCCGGACCTCTTAGAGACCCCAGATAACTTCGCTTCTTTCGGGTCCGCGGGCTTCGTTTGCGACGCACTTTAATCGCTTCGGAGTGGTAATAAACTCTTATTTGATTATGCTCTTATTACGCGAACCGCTGTTTCACGGCGAAACGGCTTCGATAACGACGCTATAACAAGATATTTTGATTACCCTCGCCTTACAATATTCGTAAGAAACTAATTTTATTATTATTGAATTATGACCATTACTTCTAATTATATTAAGTTCTCCTTTAAAAATATACTGAATTTACGTTTAGCAAAGCAATATTCTTTATTATCGTTTAAGCTAAATGCTTAATAATTTTTATGTGTAATGTGTTTTTAATTATATCAAATATATGAAATTGTGCAGAGACCTTAATCTTACACATAAAATGCTTATTTATTTTACCTAATTTATTGAACCATACCTATGATATTATATAGATCTTTGCTAATTGCTTAAAAAGAGTCATAATTAACTAAAAATAAGTAGTAAGATACCTTTAAGATTTTAAATATTAAAGCTGTAATAGATATATATGAAATATACCAACGAAATTTTACATAGATTTTCACTCAGAATCTTTGTTAAAACCAAAACAAATCATATCCAAAATGGTAAAACTTTCTACAAAAAAGCTGACAGCGTTCATCGAGATATAACTTTTTTAAAATAACTTTTGTCATGAGTCAAAAATACACGACTCGAAAACATAATCAGGAAATAAAAATGATACTCTGAAAATAAACTATTAGAATTTAAAAAGAGGGGCAAGCAAGACGGTATCACTGTAATATAGCCTTGTTATTACACTTTAAGTTATTGAATATTAAAACTGGACATAATGTTTTTCTATGTAATTAGACGCTATATGTATAACTATAGCATTATGTATCTAAAAACCATTTTTGTTTATTATTTATTTATATTCCTTTTAAAATTAAGATCAAGGCATAGTACACATGTAAAATTTGATCACACACCATCCTGTTTTAGATAAATTTGAGTTTAAAACTTTACACCAAATAACTACCTATTAATATTAAAAATTATCTTAGATTTAAAACGTGCATAGAAAACATAGATGCGTATGCGCAAAACCAGCTCTCTATTTACATACACGTAGAAAACAGGGCCGCTTCCTCTTATTTGTATGTTGGATTGGAAGTTAACTGAAAAATATCCTTACTCAACCTAATAAAAAATAAAATAAAATACCATTTTCATTTGAACATTTTTCGTTTACATAGTTATATTTCTTGGTGAGGGGTAAGATATCGTTCTAAGGATTCATCTAATTAGGAATACTTAATAATTCATTACTTGGACACCATAAAGGTATAAACAATACAAGACGTGACGTTAACTACAAATATCACAGAAGATTCGATATGCCGTAGAAGCATGCCTACTCTATGCTTACCAGTTATTGTTGAAACTCTGCTTCATCACATTCGTGGCAAACGAGATTTTTTAGCATATCTATCATTTCGGTCGGACGGGGGACCGTTAACCCCGCGCGTTACTACTGTTCGGATAAGCGGTCATTCGGTTAAGCGATGTTCGGATAATCGACGCTCCACTGTATATTGTTTCAAAGCAAAATTTTACGTTTAATTTATTCTATGGCTCGCGAACATTGGTCGTTCTGACCATCATAATTGAAATTTTTTCGTAAAATTTGGTGTAGTTGAGTGAGGGTCAAGTTATTTTGTCCGTGCCGTACGAAATACATACATAGATGAATATTTTTGGAATTAAAGATTTTTTTTTCGTTTTAATGAATTTCTTTTTTCACCTAAGTTTTATGTCTGGTGTGCTTCTATCGCTACATTTAACAGTCTAATTTCTCAAGTAATCTATTCACAAACTTGTGTTACTTAATTAGGAAAAGCTTGAAAGATCAAACTTCTTACAACATTAAGCGACCTCCGAGCACCTTTGCAGGGAATTTTAAAGTTATCCTTTAAGGTAAGCAAAGTTTGAAATTTGTAGGAATCATATTGATCCGAAATGACTTTCTCACTTCAAATTGTTGCTACTTTATTAAGAGTAACTTATACGAGAATTGTTATTAAGAAAATTCCTTTAATATTAATATTTATTGGCACCGACATATTCTTCTAAACTTATCTTATATTTCAACGAATTCAATTCATATATTAGTTTCATTGATCGATGTTATGTCAGTCCGTCGTAGATAAGGCCTCGAGGGCAAATGAAAGAGTGTTCCTTGGGAATATAAATGAAATCTTTGTAAGTGGTAGTTAAGTTTGAGTGTGATTAGGCGAAGTGCGGCGTAAAACGTAAAAGTTTACGGTTTAAAGCTCGCCCTAGAGCTTGAATAAAACATTCAATTCGCGGGATAACCTACTCTACTTGATTAGCTGGCCTTAATCGCTCACTCGCGCACAGATTATATACCGTCTAAACACACTGTGTTTTACATGCTGAGGATGCTGCAAGGAACCTAGTTTGATGACGTCATAGCTTTTCTATGATAGAAGTGGACAGACAAACATCTCTTAATGAAAGGTGAACCCCAGACATATAATACCTAAACAAGATGCGCGGTCTACCTATTTTAGTTTGGATATACCGAGTTGAAATATCTTGAATTCACCATGTATAGTTAACGATCCAACAGTTACTTAAAATTCTTACTGCGTCACAAAATTAACCTCAAAAACTATCAACTGAGTTCGTCATCACAGAAGTCGATAAAATCCATACTAGAAGCAATCCTTGCGACAGCGATGTTCTTTAATAAATGATGTCTCAATCGTCGACGTAGAATTATTTCGATCGAATTTAATGACGGCAAACTGTATAACCGTATCCGTTGTTGTGTGTTATTATCTAATTATTTTTGTACAATAATAGCCAGTTCGCGTTTAAAAAGAAAACGAAATGATGACGTAGGGTTATGAAAACGTTTAGACGAGTGGAGCGGTCACAGCGCGTTCTGCAACTCTTGAAATTTGGCAAAGAGTCCGGCTCTTCATGTGATATCAGCAATTTTCGATTCTCTCCAACGCTCTTACTTTGCTTTTAAAACTATCATATTTTTTGGCTCCGACTTCGTATTATCTTCAGAATTATTTATCTAAGATAAGCATTTTACATTTAACTTGAACAAGATCTAGTTGTCCCCAGGTTTTATATAAGATGATTAAATTTGTATTGAAGTATATGCAATTTTATGTATTTTTTTGGCTCATCTGTTAAATACTATGTCGTTAACTGTGTTAATTGAAACTATGCGAATAAAATATCACGTAGTTAAACACACAATAAATTAAACATAATATTCCTTTATGATAGACAAGAAAGTGAAAGTCAGCCATATAACATCTTAACTAGATACACGGTCAACTTATTTTGGCTTTGGAAGTGCAATAATCTAAAGACAATGAAATAAAGCCAAACGTGTTTACACTTTACGGTACTTTTATCTGTGGACTATGATGCAGACGAAATTCCAATGTCCCTTCCACCAATTCTACATTCAAATTCTCTAGACAAATAATAATAACGTTACTTTAGTTTACGTGAGATATTAATAAGGCAATTTTAACGGTTACAAATACGAAATATATTGGGACATTTACTTTTAATTTGTACATTATGTTAAAGGTCTGAAACGTTTTATTGAAATTATAATTTACTTAGTATGGTCGGGTATTTACGCGGATAGTGTACATTTTAACGGTTTAAAACGCGAAATATATTAGTTAACTTATTTTTAATTTGATCTTTGGATCTTTTACATCTGACTGTCCATAAAGACACAAGTCAAATTCAAATCTGCTACATTTCAGTCATCTCTTTCATCGTCGTTAGTGTTTAGAGAAACTGTCTGGCTTGCGTTTTTTTGCGTGGGCGCATTAACCATACCTTCTACAGTTTAACGAGGTGACGTCATATATTTTCACATGGGACCAACAGTTCCTAAAATAACATTTTATTATATACTAATATATGAGTAACGGTGTGGAATTAATTGTCGTAACTTTCCACGTACTGGGTATGTGTGTGTGGAAAACGACGATGATGTTACACCTGAATTCAACTTATATAATATAATACACATATACCAATACTATAAAGTTTGTTTGTTTTTAACGCGTTGATCTCAGAAACTACTGTTTCGAATTGAAAAAATATTTTTGTGTTAGAGGAGGAGGTTTGCAAAAAGAAATTTTGATACCCAAAATAACTAATCCACGCGGACGAAGTCGCAGGCACAGATAGTTATATATATATACAACAAAGTACACTCCCGAGTCACGTCTGGACGAGACCGCTCGCATCCGGATGGAAGAGGCTCGTATGAGGGCAATCAGACTCCGCATATTAGTTTATCGCTTCCCTCAAAAGGGCTAATCGGTCCCTCGCTAAAGCGATATGTCCCCGAAGGCCCTAACCCCGTCTACCTCTATTCGACTGGCTACGACCCGCTTTACACTCAATATTGGATTAAAAAAGGTTGGACTTCTCGCAGCCTTTAAACACATTCACCGTACAAGGTACCCACCATTACCAAACACCTACATTTCTTTACCATAAACAAGTCTGTACTCTGCTCGTAGCTAGTATAAATAGCGGGCAATAAATAGTTATATAGTAGTTAAGTAGATTTATAGTTTACACGTCAGTCTGTAGCAATCAATAATTATTATTATAAAGTTGAAGAATATGTTCGTTGAAACAATATTTTTGTGGTTGATAGACCATGTATGAAAAGAGGCTTCAATAGGCTATATTATAGCCTACTGAAGAATTAACAGTATATTATATCACGCCGCGTAAACGGTTTAAGAAACCAGAATATACGATTACCTCACAAAAACAGTTTTTATTGTAATTAAAGGCTTTATTAATTTTGA